TGTTCCTCCTAACTACCCCCTCACCATGATTGCTGATAGTACAGTCCGGTGTGATAAAGCCGTTAGCTCCGTTAGGCCACACCAATTTAATTTCTTGGTTAACGGATTTTCTAGCAAAATAATGGAGCGGATGGGCGAAAATAAAAATAAAAACAGGCCTTGGCATCCTATTATGGCCCAAAATGGTACGATAGGAGCCATGAAGTCAACACACCAGGCTGGTTCAAAATTTAAACAATGAATTTTGAACTTTTAATGATACCACTGCATTGAAAGATGGAACAACTGTAACAACTAGGATTAATAAAAGGACTGTTTTCAACTGTTCAGGGCAAAATATGAGCATTTTGCAGTTGATTCTGAATTTTTATTTTTATTTGCAAATCAGAAAAAAATGAAGCGGGCGAATCCGTTAACCAAGAAATTAAATTGGTGTGGCCTTAGTACAACCCATGTTCCTCCTAACTACCCCCTCACCATGGTTGCTGATGGTACAGTCCGGGGTGTTCCAGGCGTTGGTACATCCCGTGTTCCAGGGAAGCTCGCTTGTGAAGGAGGCGAACAGGTAGAACAGGGAATACGCCAGCAGGACGATATAGTAAATCCCGATGAGACTGGATATCGTGAACATCGCAATTCCCACACCTATAGAGATAAAAGGTTAGGCCACACCAAGTAAATTCTATGGATGACGTCTTTTGGAGACCCTAAATCTAATGCGAGAGGGCGAAAAAAACAAGAAGGGCCCTAAAAAACAAGATGCCTAGACTAGAAATATACTAAGAGACGACAAATGTCAGGACACAAATTAGATGAGGTGACACAGTGTAACAAGCAAGAAGTCTTTTATTCATCATCAAAACAGCAATAAATCAGGTGTAACAGCAGTTGTCGTCTTGTGCTTTGGGGAGAAAGATGGAGCGGTCAGCAAGTTTCTTCAAAGGTGGCAGCATGTACCAAACTGAATTCCTCATTGAAGTCATGATTTCCTTGCTTTTATAAGCTTTGGTTCGTACAAACCTATTTGCGGCACTGTCGTGACTCTTTGGTCATAGTAACAGGAAGCGGAATTTCTTGTTTTTTTTTCTAGGAACGGACCAAAATCAATGCGCGCGTGGACATCATCCATAAAATTTACTTGGTGTGGCCTTACGATATTAACTAGTATAAGACGCTGTTATTTTCAAAGGTCCCTTTTTGTCTTTAAGAGAAAACAAAAACATCAATAAAAACGGAAAAGAACTGTCACATAAAAAAAGCATACACCAATGTACTTAGATTTAAAACGCAAAGGTTTTCCCACCACAAAGCAACGGGAACACAATCAAAGATGAAATTGAAATAACAAATGCTTTATTTCATCCGCCTTACTTATCTTTCATGTTCAGCAACAGCGGTTTTCCATCAAACTCCTCCAGGCCGGAGGCGCGATAAAGTGCAGAAATTGGCAAATTATTCCCCAATTTGGGTCAATTTCTTACACATCTATTCTGCTTCGAGCGGAGACTTTGAAGACTAAAGGGAACTGGTAATTTTGTACATATGTAACGTCGGTATACTGACGTCAGCAATTTAGAGACTAATCAAATGAACTACAAAGGGCAACATGCCGCGCTACGCGTTTACCATACCTGAACTAAATACAGTATGATCACCACCAGGATGTTACTTTCTACACGTGGCCACGTGGCGCAATGGACTAGCGCACCGGACTTCTAGTGGATGCGGTAATTCGGAGGTTGTGGGTTCGAGTCCCACCGTGGTCGACCGTAATTTTTTGTGACACCGAAAACATAATGCTACTCAATCTTCAATCACAACTATTCCTTTTAACTGATAATATAAAATAGAAGATTCACATCTTTGCCAATGGGATAGATAGTCAGGACGGAGGGACAACGTGATTATTAAGACTTTTGAGAAAAAAAAAGCATGAAAAAACTTAAACTGTTCTCCAACTCAAAATTTGACTCACCAGAAATTTTCGACTGAATCACTCAGTCTTCCTCAGCTATCTGACCCAAATGCTGTGGACACGTGATTTTTCCCACGTGTGACGTCAGCAAAGGGTCAAAGGTTGTCTGAAGTCGATATCGCCCCCCGTCCCGGTTGAGCGATGGTTGAAGTGCCCTGATGTATATGGCCTCTTTTATGCCATGTATATGGCCTCTTTATTAAGAAAATTTCTGGTGAGTCAAATTAGTTGGAGAACAGTTTAAGTTTTTTCATAATGTAATTTACCAACTCAGATGAACTTTCATGCTGATGTGAGAAAAAAAAAAGTTTTACCTTTAAAGATCGGGCTGAGTTTCCACACAGAGATCGGTCCCTGGGAGGAGAACTGGCCCAGCGCCAACTCCATCAGGAACAGCGGCAGACCGGACAGGAGCAGCATGATGACGTATGGGATCAGGAACGCTCCTGATTGGACAATAGTGTCATGACGTCTTTGCTTGACGTGTACGGTGAGATTGAAAGAAACTCTGACGTTTTACGCTGAAAGGAAAACCCTTTTCTTCGGATTTACATTGGCTAGTGTATATGCGTCGACGCAGTACCAGTTTTTACCCCTCAGGATGTGTTTAACCTCGTCCTAGTCTCTACCAGGCTTCGGTAGGCAGTGGGAAAGAGTAGAAATCGGCCAAATAGAGAGATAACATACCGAGGGAGTTTTCCGCTAGAGACTCAGAGTACATTTTGCCACACCCGAAAACTGTACTCTCTAGCGGACCAACTTCCTCGTCATGTTATCTCTCTATTTGACCGATTTCTACTCTTTCTAGCCGTCTTTTGCAGTCTCGTAGAGGCTACCTCGCTCCGTTATGACTCTTTGGAGCTACGTTGAACGGTGTTTGTTTAAGGTCTAGTGATGAATCCCTATACCCCCCCCCCTTCGGAACTACATGGGGCGGTGTTTGGTAGCGTGTCCCCTACCCCGCTTTACCCGGTTGACGCTACAATCCCTTTTAAATCCCCATCCACTTCATCCATTTGACACCACAATCCCTTACCCCCTCCGTTCCGGTAACAGAGGTATGGGAACCGCCAGACGTTGCCGAGCCCGACAGCGAACCCTAGCAGCGACAACATGTAGTCCATCTTGTGGGACCAGTTCCCGCGCTCCACGTTCTCGTCCCCTTCCATGGCCCGTTACTATGGAAACCGCAGACGATCTGGTCTCAACACCGCTAGCCTGCTAGAGAGCTGTGAAAGGACAGAAAAAGAGAAACCGTTTTCGAAGAACTGTTTCGAGGGGTGGGGGGCGGTGGCGTGCGCAGAGTGCGCGACTCGGAACCTAGAGGTCCCGGGTTCGAGTCCTGACATGCCGCCGACCTTGTGCCCTTGGGAAAGGCACTTTAATTTTACACGACTTTCCTCACAATTAGCTCAGGTGAAAATGAGTATTGTCCTGTCATATACTTGTCCCCTGTGTTGGTGGCGGCATTAATATAAATTGATAAAACTTGAGTGTGCCGTCACCACGTCTGGTGATTACATGTTGGAATAAAAAAAAGAAGAACTGTTTAAGCGTAAGTTACCTACCCTAAAAAGTATTTCTGCCAACATACTGGGACGGCCTGTTCATTTTTTTAGATAGATTGCCCGGATGTAATTCAAATGCCCGGATGTGATGTAAATGCCCGGATGTAGTTACCCTTCTAGTGGAATAGTGAACTTTCCCTGACTAACCCCAGCTGCGTTTCATTTCGCAGCATTTCCCCTTAACAGGTGTTGGTCTAAACATAGCGGCAACTGACGCCATGATAATGATCATGAATGTTGATGTAAAACATACGGTTAACAGCCGATATCTTAGATTCTGAACCAGTTTTGCATCTCTAGTACTACTACCCTGGAAGCCAGAACTCGTTTTCCGGGCCGCAAAAGCCCTTCGCCCGCTGGTGTAAATGTTACCGCTACGGGGGAGTCTAGCCCGGGGGGAGTTTGGCTGGCCCTACAAAGCAATAGGGCCGGACAAACCCCTCGGGCTCAACTCCCCCGTAGCGGTAATTTAGATAGGCGGGCGAAGGGCTCTTGGCTGCCGAAGGAAAACGACTAACGGCCCGATACTAGTTTGGGCATCCAGGGTATAGTACTACCGACAATACATGAACATGCAGCTGGGCGTGCGAAGCTTTTATTTCTTCACAACACCATCGGCATACATGTGGGTCCACACGTACTACGTTGGCATATGTTCAATGTGTACTTCCGGTAGCATTACTCAGATTTTTCCCTCTTCTCAAGTTGAAACACGTTTCTTTCCTACGGACACTTTGTCGTTATTTGTGTCGTAATCGTTTCTCGCAGCAGGAAACTCTTTTGTCGTACTTTCCCTGCAGGCGACGCGGACATGGCTGAGAAGAAAGCCGGACAAAACCCCGTCCCGTTCCGCCCATTCGTCCCGGCTGTCGGGGATTGTTCTGGCAGAATGTGCAGTGAAACCCGAACGAACCTCGGGTCACAGCGAAAGTTACAAAAACATCTTTTACTACAGTCAGTCGCCGCGAGAGTTCTCAAACCGGTGCCAAAAACGGGATTCGCAGACAGGGTTTGTCTTTTCTATCACAGTGTCAGTGACCTGGGTGGAAGTATTCTATTTCCTACCAGTCCTATAAATTCTACTGAACAAAAGTCTCAAACCGTCGTGCGACAATTATAAAATGTAGAGTAGTGGTTAATTTCAGCTACGCTACTTTAATTTGTATGAAGCGTTACTATTTTTGGCAAAGTCCCAGTATTCTTGTCTCGAACTCCCGTACTTGTAGCCTGGTTACCAAACCTATTATAGCTCCCGAGTCCTACATCCTCTCCGCAATTGCGCAAATAGGGTGTAGGACTCGGGAGCTATAATAGGTTTGGTAACCAGGCTACCGTACTTGTGGTCCATATGCAGTGTCGGTTATCAAAACCTGGCGAACCATGGATGCAATTATGCAGTGCCGTTATCCACATTTGTTACCCCCTAATCCCCAAGCATATATGAAGGGATGGAAGACCGTTCCGTCCATGCCAACACTGACAAACCCGTCGTTACGGTTACCCACCCAACATCTGCTTGGAGATGAAGAACTGCCAGTAGTTTTGGAAAGGTTGATCGAAATAAGTTAAGATCTTATAGACTGTTCAAAACTACATATAATGAAGAAAAATATCTAAGTAACGAAAATATGAGGGTGAGAAATGCTGTCACAAGAGAATAAGCTGCCACAGATTACATATTGAAATCGGAAGACATACCCGCACTCCCCTTGAACACAGATTATGTAAATATTGCAACTCGAACAAAATAGAAGACGAACGCCATTTTTTAACAGAATGTGAACTGTATAGCAAAGAGAGAAATGATCTGTATATGGTTGTACAACACATATTCTAAGTAGTGTAGAAAAATTCATATTCCCTATGCGACTAGACAAACCACCCATCGAAAAACAGATCTGTACCTTTATCTCTACAATAACTGAAAGGCGAGGAGAAGTTGAATTTATATAACGATAGTTAGTTAATTTTGTATCTGTTATCCGTGTCCATTCATCTTGTTTTGTTGTGACCTGTACTTAGCCAAGTGTGGCAGAAATGTGCAATAAAGGTCTTCATTCATTCATCGATGACGTACATCGCACACAGACAGCAGTTTGACCTTGACATTGTCCTCTCCACGTCTCCAGACGACAACACGTGGTCCCGTCTGGAGCAGCTCAGACTCGTCTGTCACTGGGACAACGGAAAAGGCGCTGCGCTTTGGGGCCAATCTTCAAGCAGATGTTGGGGTCTTATAATGAGTTTTTTTTTCGGTGGAATATCAGTCAGTTTTTCACTTTTGATTTGTTGTGGGCCGCCTTCGAAGAATTCGGATATGCCGTTAGAAAATAAAACACAATATAAGCCAACAAAAAAACACGACTCGTAGAGCGTGCTAATTCTAAGGTCATAATCTCCAAGCAGATTTTTCGGTGGGGGTAAGACAGTATCAGCCTGTTGTGTATCCATTTGCCCACCGAAGGTGTCTTAACCCCACCAATGACGTAGTCCTTGCCCCCACCGAAAGATCTGCTTGGAGGTCATATTTCCAAACTGGGGTCCGGCCGGGCTGTTTGCGTGAATAAAAAAAATAAACAATTCATATCAAGAATAAATGATGCAGTCATGATGTCCTTGTACGAATATATACGAAATGTATTTAATCTCCAAGCAGATCCCTTTCCGTTTCGGTTGCAAGACAGTGTCCATAATTTAGTCAGAGAAGTCGCCGGCGACCGAAAGGGATCTGCATGGAGATTACTCGCTACTTACTTTTCAACGTTTTTGTGTTTTGTTGTATTTTCCTTTCATTCCCACTGGCCCCGGGTTTGGAATTGTGACTTCGATTAACGAGGCGATAACTTTTGGTGTGGTAAGACCGGTGATCATGTCCACCCCCCTCCACCGGAACCACAAAGCGCCGCGGGCCGCCCCGGTTCAGCCCGGGTCAGTCCTGGCATCCCGGCGGCAACCTTACAGCCTGCGCGTCGGTCCACAAGAACCACATGTGTTTCCGATAGAATCACTCACCTTTCACCCTCTAGCTAGACACTGAAAAGTACACACCTTCAACTCAACTCCTTCAAGACGTCTGAACTTGGCCCGGCTCCTTCGTTGCTTCTCCTTTAAGACTAGGATTTTATGGGGGGAGTTGCTAATTTTGTTGTACTGTTTTCTTATTATATTGCACTGAGTGGTTTCGAATTCTACACTCGTAATTGACTCTAGCCGAAAAACAATCAGAACTGATGTACATTGATCAGAGACAACGCAAAATAATAAAAGAAAGCTACAGCAACGAAGAATGCTATGACGGTAGCGGTCTGAAACAAATTTGATGGGTCACAGATACAGACGGCAAGGACTCAAAGTCAAACTTTCTTGACATCGGTATGGCTTGAGAGGTTCACTGCAGGGCCACATTTATACTACGGTCAACCCTGTGTAACAGTGCTTCAAGTAAAAGGGATCCTAGGGGCTCGGTCTTTGGCTTGTAGGCAATGTTTATATTATAGTACTCAGCTTTGTTTACAAATAAGCAGTAAGCAGCGTATAGCCGCAACTAAAACGAAACAAATCGCTGATTTGAAGAAGCCCATAAATTTGACTGAGCGAAAGTCGACTGTCGGTTGAAAAGCTACTATTATGTGAACGATACATTTTATCTATGATAAATGTAATGCCTTCAATCTATGTCTGTGAATAAAAGGTGGTTGTTGAGAGTTGTAGACTTACAAAGTGCAGCTGCTCGGACTCGGACCACTTGGCTGCCACGTATGGAGGGTCTCAGGGTGCCAAATTATGTTTTGGTCAGGGACAACTCATTTTCTCACACCAAGGGGTCTCTGAGAGGCTGCCAATGTTTTGGTCAGGGGCGGTACGTTTTGTCACATCTGTGGGTCTCTGGAGGGTGCCAGACTGAGTGTTTTGGTCAGGGACGGTACATTTCAGGGACAACTCATTTTCTCACACCAAGGGGTCTGCCAATGCCAATGAGAGGCTGCCAATGTTTTGGTCAGGGGCGGTACGTTTGTCACATCTGTGGGTCTCTGGAGGGTGCCAGTGTTTTGGTCAGGGACGGTACATTTCAACAGGCAAGCGCCAATGTTTGGGTTGGGGATAGTACATTTTATCACTATGTAAGAGGTGCTAGTGTCACGGAAATGAAAAGAAACCTGCAGTGGACCTCACTTGAAGACAGAAGAAAGATGTCTAGACTATGCATGATGTACAAAATGACTAATAAACTGGTGGATGTCCCAACTACTAAGTACCTAATACCAGCTCAGAAGAGAACAAGAAATAGCCACGCATTCAAGTACTAGAGTTATCAACCAAGGATTGAGGTGTTCAAGAATTCATTCTTTCCTAGAACTATCGCAGAGTGGAACTCACTGTCACCAAGTACAGTAGGGGCACTGTCAATAGATAGCTTTAAACAATGTCTAGAGCTAGAAGTCCAAGGGTTAGGTGTAACAAGTCGATCGGTGTAATATAGCCAGCTGCCGCCGCGCCGCGTGCCTGCGAAGCTGGTGTGTTACGCCGAAAGGCGGTTATACCGGCTATACAGATACAGATACAGATCACGTCTACTGAGGGTTCGATACTTCACGACTGGAAATGTTTTTACATCATTTTATTCCAGATCTTCATCCATAAATTCACATCAACGTCATTTGACATTTAAAGTTATCATTTCCAAAGACAAACTGCAAACTGCAATGAAAGACCATGAAAGATATGCAGAATGAAAAAGGAATTTTCAGATTATAATTGGTTCCGCATGTGCGAAACTTCTACTGCAGTGCAGTTCCCTTTCGCTAGAGAGCGTCTCTAGTCTTCGGCGTCGAAAACTATGCTTTTCTTGTCAGCCAGAGAAACAAACGTGATAAGATCACTCGGTTGGTCAGCAAAAGTTTATTAATGATGAATGATAAAAATTCATTATTTATATCACTGTTAGACAACATTTCGTCAATAGTACTTCCACACTAAGCACATTAACATGCATTTTGCTCAAAACCCGCTCGGACAAAGGTAAAGCAACACAACTGAAACCCACGGATTACTACCCTGGATGCCACCTAGTATCGGGGCGGTAGCAGTTTTTCTTCGGCAGCCAAGAGCCCTTCGCCCGGATATCTAAATTACCGCTACGGGGGAGTTGAGCCCGAGGGGTTTGTCCGGCCCTATTACGGTTACTATTATTGTAGGGCCAGC